AACTACTGCACAGTCAGGATGCAGAACAGTTCTGGCACCCCGTGAAGCCCCCTCGTGCTGCCCTGTGTAGCCACGTCCTCCCCCAACCTATATCCCCTGGCAACTACTGATCTGTGTTCCATAATGATAGCTTTGTCTTTTTTGAGAACTCCCTTTCCTTTTGCAATCCCCTGCGCTTAATTTTTTAATAGGGATCTCTGCCTATTTGTGTGTGTGTGCAAAGAACTCCAATGCCAGCAGTCTTTCCCCCCTCTGTTGTTACTCTCTTGTTATTTATACTGTTGCTAACATTTTTAGCACTTATTATGTACCAAGCTCTTTACATATATTATCTCGTTTTAATCTCACAATAGCCTTATGATAAAATATATGTACACCATTATTATCTCCACTATACACATATGGAAACTAAGGATCAGAGAGGTTAAGTGACTTGCCTAAGGCCTCACAGCGAACAAATGATTGAATCCCAGCACAAACCCAACTCCATTAGACCATAAATCAGTGAGCGATAAAAGGCAGGGGATTGTAACTAGGAAGAAGGTGCACCAAGAGAGGTTGGGGGCAGTGCCAGTTTGGGGCCATGTGGTTTTTAAAAATGTTTGCAAATGTGTGTGAAGCTGGAGAACCATCTGGGTCTCATGACTTCTCAACCTCAGCCCCTACCTTTATGGCTTCCTCCACCTGCCACATATGGTCCTTACTGTCCCAGGTGGCACCTGCCTGCTGTTTTCAGGGGCCTGGGATGATTTTAATCCCCTTACAAGTTTAGCAAAACCACCATCTGTATCACAGCTCTGTCTCAGGACATAACATCTGAGACCTAGGAATGGGGCTGGACGGCCTTCTGGTTTCTACCCAACCTCAATTCCCTGATGTGCTTTCTGACCTCATTTTTCTCCCTCAGTTGCTTGCGACACCGGCTGAAAAGTTTCTAGGACAAAGCCACCTGGTCTGTGTGCTGGAGGTGACAGGTGTGTTCTCGCTGATAAGGGGCGAGTAAGGCAGAAATGTGTGTAATTGGTACAATACTTAGCAACGTAGGGACAAAGTCCAGCCTTGCGAGACGCAGGGTGGCGACATTCGTGTTGGGGACTAGAGTGAGAAGCAGGAGAAGGGGAAAGATAGAAGAGTTAACGAAGAATCGATGTTGCTGGGAGGTGGACAGGGTTCTTGCCCTGTGTATGCTTTACCTTTGAACTTGCTCTTTGGGGAAGTGAAGTTGGTTAGGGAGCTTTCTCCTGGAATCAACTCCTAGCACGTGCTGGGGAGGATCGCATGTCTGAATCATGGCCATGGATCAGTTGGAGGTGAATAAAACAGCCAGAAATCAAGGTACTGAGGACCTAGATGGCACTTGATTAACAAGGGGGTGAAAGGGGGCATGTAATTTAGAGTAGAAAGTGTTGAGTCACTTCAGTAACAACCACAGTTCACACTTATTGAGAACTTAATATGAGCCAGTCACTGTGCTAAGAGCTAAGTGACATGAATCATCTCAGTTATTTCTCACAACGACCCTCTGAGGTAGGCACTGCTATTATCTCCAATGTGCAGATGAGGAATTTAACTGACTCACCCCCCAAGTACACAACTGTTGAGGGACAGAATCAGGATTTGAATTTTGATATTTCTCAAATCTAAGCCAGCAAATGCTTAACTTCTCTGCTGTACTGTCTGTCCTCATTGAGAGACGCCATTAAAATGTAACAGAATGAAGAGGAAGAGAGATCGGCTATTCAGGAACCCAGAATCTTTTCGGAGGCTTGCAAAATTCCGTTGGTTTAACTACAGGATGGGAAAGAATAAGAGCCAGTGGGCTCTGCATGACCGGAGACCTGCCAGGAGTCTGGTGATCTCGCCTGTTGGTTTGAAATAATTGCATACTGTAGAAACCTACAGTTGTTTCTCAAGTTTTCTTTTTACACAATCAGCTTGGGAGGGTTTTAGACATGTCGGCACAATGGGCTGTTTTTTTCTGTCTATTGGGCTGGCACCACGAGGTGTGACTATTGGTTCCACCCTAGCATACTGGCTGGCACAAGATGCATCAGGCCTCTTTAAGCTAACAAAAGGATCTCGATGAGCTTGTTTTTTAGATGAACCTAGGTGAGCAGAGCAGACTTTGGGCTTAAAAAACTCATGGATAGGAAGTTAAATGAACTCTTGTAGAGTGCCAGGTTATCAGCAAGTCCTCTGAAAGAGGTGTTTTACAAAATGGTACCCTGCGACAACAGGTTATTTATGCCCTCTTAGGGGGTACTTTATACTTAGTATTATCCTGTCCTGAACCCATCATAGAATCAACTTCAATAATAATACCTATTACACTCTGCTGCAAGGGTTGTAACTCCTTCTATGTTTTGCAGCATGTCTCATGCATGGCAGGGCACAATAAACAGTCAATAATAACGTTCACTATAATAATGATCTTCCAAATGCCTTTCATCTAAGGCTCACAAAGTCCCTTACAAACACTAATTAGTTAAGCCTCACAATGGGTGTTTTTACAATACGTCTTCCCATTTTACAGAATTTTAAATTGAGACCCAGCAAACTTAAGTGGCTTACTCAAAGTCATACAGCAAGTTTAAATTAATGATGATGATGCTTTGCATTTACATAGCAGATGTTTTCTAAGGTGATAGGAGTATGTTGCGATGACTATTTTCACACTATCCTGGAGGAAGGTGGGGAGTAAGTATTATTTCAAGTATTATTTCACTAGATTGGCTAAACCAAGGCAGAGAGGGCAAGTAACTCAGGAGGATTTGACTGAGGGTCCAAGCTCACTGCTCTGAGTCCCAGAACAGAGTGCGGCATCCAGACGATGCCCAGTTCTCTTAACCGAGGGATGCTCGCTTGCTTCCACACTTGCAGAAAAGACAGCTATATTTTGGGGAGCAGAGACGGGTTACAGAATATCAACCGTGTTTATATCCAGGAACAGGTTTGTTCGTATCCCTATTGAGAGAGGCAAAAGGGATGAGAGGAGCCACTATAAGAAAGAATCGCTTAAGAAATGAAGGAAACAGGGCAGGGGGGTGAGGTGGTGGCTGCCAGCTCCGCTGTCTTGCAGAGCATCTTTCTAACCTAGGTCTTTCCTGAAAGCAGGAGCCCGTAAAGGCTTGGGTCTGTGTCTCAGCCTCGTTGGTAGGACTTGGCCCCGAGCAGCGTGGAGGATGGGCACAGACACATCACTGGCACCTCACTCTGGTGTTACAAGTCCCTGTGGCAGAGTTCCAGGGGCACCCACTATACTCATGGCTGTCTCCTACATATAATGAGCTGTTGTCTCAATTCCCTGTGACAGAAGGGCCCTGGGAATCCTGTATGGTTCCAAAACTCGGTAGCTGTGGATCCATTCGTTGCTACCTTTTCTTAGCAACACAGCCACGTCGAAAAAGATGAGAACCTGAACAAAAACATTTGAAGCTAATAAGGGACTTGCCTCCTCCCAGTCCACACCGTTTCCTTACTGAGTGAGGACACTCTGCTGGAAGGCAGGTGGGGGAGGGGAGAGGCCGCTGGGTCTTAGGAATTCAAGGGGGATTTGCTGACCCAGAGACAGAGCCCTTTTCTGTGTAAACAAGGCAGGTTTGAGATAAATTTGCTTCCCCACCCCCACGTCGCCATTCCCAGGCCCATGGATTCTGATTGATGACTAGACCAGGGCTAATGGGGAGACTTAAAGAGGAGTGCCGAGCCTTTTTCTGGAATGTGTTCACACACGCAAGCACAACAGCGATAGAGTCTGCAGTGCAGAAATAGCAGTGTCCTGCTTCTTCCCACTCCCGATTTTTGAACGTTTACACATGCCCCTGCCACGTGGGTGGCTTAAAGGTGCAGTGAATCCAGGAAGGGATGAGCTCTTGGAAGGAAAATTTCAGAAAGTTGTTCCAAATGCATATCACGAGCCACTTCTGAGTGGGGAAGAAGTCTATGCAAGACCCTCCCACACACTCTTCAGAGCAAGGAGTCGGGAGTCCCTCCTGCCTGTATTAAAGTTTGCTTTAGGTAAGACTTCAAAGAATGCAGCTTTGATTTTCTAAGTATGCCAATGACCCAAGCGGCAGCTCTCTGTGTCCACTTTGGCACACTGACTCCAGGGGTGACAGTGCAAATAATCCTGCCAGCCTCCCAAGGACCGTGTCCTTCTCTCGAGATGTGCCCTTACACTGCATCCTGCCACAGGGCTCACCGCCAGGTCAGATAAAGTCCTCGGGGTGTACTTGCAGGGCCGGACTGAGGGATTCGCGTTATCCAGACATGAAAAGCATTACTGGGCGATCTCCTGTGCAGTTCGCCTGGGTCTGTTTGGTTTTTTTAGTTGCAGCCTCTGCTGTGTGTTTTTTGTGTGTCTTATCCATTTTGCAAAATGAGACATATCTGCAGCGCCCCTATACATATCTGTTGTACTCCACAGCCCAGCCTTTGCTATCAATCCGTCCACCCACATAGACGCTTCCCTCTGGCGCTATCCTGGGCGTCAAGTAACTCGATAGCTTCGAATAGATTATGAATGGGCATTGTCATAAAAGTGCTTTATGACTAGGGGTGGGAAGACGGATTTGGGTAAAATTCAAACGAAACCTGGCGTTTGGAAACTCTCAGAGATCTCAAAAGCAGCAAGCATTTGGATTTGTTTTCTCTCTTTTTCCCACCCTTCACGCATTTCCCACGCGCTGGTTTGCCGCAGAACAGTAGAAGCGAAAGACCAAAAATAATCTAAAAGGCTTTCCTCGTTCTCCTACCTCCTGGACAAGAAGTAAGGAGAGCCTAAGGAAGCTTTAACGGTTCTAAGGAGAATTCTTAGATGAATTAGATAGGCTCGGGATTCCACCTTGTTTCAGTAAAATGACCACTGCCCACAGAAACTTATCCCTGGGAATCACCGGCAGCACTTGGAAAGCTAACTAAAAGACGATAATCCCTAGCTCTCGGTATATGCAAATCCAACCTCCAAGTGACATGATATTAACAAGGAAGATCTTTCTTACCCCGTCCATGTGGATTCTGATGTTGGGCACCAGCCGGAAAGGGCTGGCCTGCAGACCTCTGGAGTTGGTCCTGCTTTTCCTGCCGTCCGGCAAGGTCAGCCCGCCGGGCCTGCGGAAGGAACCCCCTCTCCCGGGGCTTGGCCCCGAGCGCACGCCATCCAGAAGTCGCACTAGCAGCAGGTTGGCCGGCAGCGCCTCGATGCTGCAAAACACCAGGGTCCTGCATTCCGGGCACCTCAGCTCCTTGTGGGCCTTGAAAACCCTCTGTAGACATGGTTTGCAGAAGGTGTGCTGGCAAGGGAGAACTTTGGCCGTGACATCGAGCTTTTCAAAGCACACAGGGCACTCGAGAAGATCAAGTAGTGTCAAATCATCCATTTTATTTCAGAACTCCAGTCCCGATCTGGAGGAGCAGGGTCCACATTGTAGGGTCAGCTCAGACAAGGGGGCAGAGCCCGCGTCTCTTGAGAGCGTCAGAATTCCTGCCTGCTTGAAGGAGAAAGGGAGGGAGGAAAAAAATGTGACTGCTCTGCGAGGTATATCCCACCTACATGGAGGCAGTGTCTCATAAGGCAGTTTGCAAGTACTTTGTTCCGGCACCCAAGTTCCGCATGACTCATTCTGATTCAGTGCTAGCAGGTATGAGACTCAACTCGTGCCTGCTCTAAGGATCACCGGGAACATTCCGCAGAGGACTGACTGCTCGTTGCCCGTGCGGATGCGAGAGCAGGGCAACCAAACCAGCCTGTAGAAGCGGCTACTCTCTCCTCTCCACCAGCCAGGGCGGGAAGGGGTCCTTTACCCTGCCTGGCGAGAGCACCGGACAGTTAGTCTCAACTCTTAAATCAAAGCCCCCTCAGAATGCAGCATCTGCAAGGCTCTCTACTCCCCCTTCCTTCCCCAGGTTTAAATTTATCTATTACCTGCATCACACGCCGATAAGTTTAGAGAAGGAAGTTTACCTGAATCTCATGCAGATGTAGCATTATTTCCTTCACAATATGTCTCCCCCCACTATTTTGTTCCAGCAATGTATAAGAAAAATTTCTGTTAGAAACCCATTTTCAAAAAATTGTTTTGCCTTAGCTACAGGCCAAAGTAGTTGGAAGCTCTTTCTCTTCTCTTTTTTTTTTTCTTTTGCCTCCTCACTCTGATTACCTTAGGCTCAGAGACAATATTACCTCCCACAAGGTAAAGTCGTGCAGCCTGTTCAGTTACTTTGACAATTGTTTTCAGTTTCAAGTGAAGCAGATAGGAATTCTGCACTGTGGTCACAACCTGTAGAAACCAACTTAGAGCGGCGTACAGGTAGGGGTCTGTGTGTGTGTGTGTGTGTGTGTGTGTGTGTGTGTGTGTGTGTCTATGCGTGTGTATATGTGTGTGGTATGAAAACAACCCTTGTTCCAGAAACAAGTTTCCTTTGGAACGTACGAAAAGAAGTCTCCAGTTTAGAAAAGTCTCCTGGGAAGAAGTCAGTTGTCCCTCCCAAGTGCCAAGGCTCCAGTGAACGCCACGGCAGCCCAAGAGGTTTGGCAGGAGGGCGAGTGACCCAACTAGGAACTAGTAAGCAGGGCAGACATGACATGGGAGGATGAGAGATGGCGTCTTGCCTCCCTAAGACTCCTCTCCGAAGACATCAGCGTGGCAGGCTGGGAAGGTGCGTGGGGGCCACTAACCTTGTGCTTGGAACCTCTGCTGAGTTCGCTCAGCCCCTCCTCCGCTGAGCAGGGCAGGCTGCTCCCGCCAACCGGCTTCCTTTTCCCCAAGTGTGGCCGCTGCTGCTACTACTGCTTTGAAAACTTTAACAACTCAGTCTTACTCATTTGAAGGGATCGCCTTACCCTGCCCTGTTAACGCTTTCACCGCCAGGCTGCTGCCTACCAGCAACGCTTTTGGTTTTTTTTTTGAGTTGACTCTGGGTTACTGATCCTTCCTTTAGGAAACTGAACTGATTTCTGGGAAAAGATTGTAAGAGGCAAAACAGAAGTCAGCCCCTAAGGCCAAGTATTTACAAAGCTGATATTTTTACCTTTCCCATTTTCTATTCCATCCAAGGAGCTGAAACCTCCTCCATTATAAACACACCAAAGGGATTGTGTTTATTTTAAACCTTTGTAAGGATTTCCTGGGAAGGTCAAACGTATTAATGGTAGTTACGATAACAAGGACAAGCTGGCCACCTAGAAAATATTGCTCCTTAAAAATCATAGTCAATCCCTGAATTTAGAGACGGCAGGGGCTTTAGTGATCTTTTTGCTCAATCTTCTTTAAACTCAAAAAATAGTGTTGTGTACATACGCATACTTGAAAAATCCAAGCACAGAAGAACTTTTTTTAAAAAAGGAAAAAGCAGTGGTCCCCAGCTCTCCTCCCACCTGTATTCACTGTATTTCATATCCACAAATAATGCCTATAGTTCTATTTCTTTGGTTTATCAATAACACATTTCATGTAAAATTACAGAGGTATCCAATTGAGTAAGTAAATAATAATAATCTTACATAACACCAGGCTAGCACTTGTCTATGCCAAGCACTATTTTCTATATACCTTACCTATTAACCCATTTCACCCTCTTAATGACAGAGGATACACTAAACTCCTCTTACCTTCGTTCTACAGAAGAGGAAACCTGAGACACAGCGAAGGCAGGTCACTCATCCCGGAGTCACAGCTGGCAGAGGCAGGTGGTCTGTGCTCTTAGCTACTGTGTCATGGAGTGATATAACTTTAGGAGGAGAAGAGATGATTCAAAGGACCTAAGCCTGATCTAGGATGACAGGAAGTCACAAGATAATGACCAAAACGACCGCTCAATGAAGCAGCTGAGTTTGGAAAGATCAAGAGATTCTTTGAAGTTGTCCAGTGAGTTAGGGGCAGAACTGGGACTAGAATCAGGTGTTCCTTTTTTTTTTTTATACTATGTTTTCTCTCTCAACATAAGGATGACAGTTCTTTATTATGCAGAAAGCACTTAGATACAACTCCATGGGAAAATTTTAAGAGGGGACCAAGAGGCCTGAAAACATTGTGGTGGTTTAGGTTTTTCAAAGTTCTTCCATGTCACTTCTGAAAAATCAAACATGCACAAAGTTCAAAACAAGGGAGAACTTTAGGCTGAAACAGAGGAAGTTATTAATATCTGTCTTCTGAGCACTGAGGCTTAATTTGGATACATGTCAATTTCAGAGACCACTTTCAACTCATTTTTTAAATCTCCCTTTTGAGCTTCAACGACATCACATCCTGTTCTGCTTGCCTGTCTCCTTCAATTAAATCCCACTCTTCACTCTGTGCCCCCAAGAAAGCCCCCTGTGGTTTGAGGCCCTTTACTGCTTTCCATTTAGTAAAGCTGAGCTGGTCTCTTCCGTGTCCTCTAGTCCCCTCACACCCTAGAAAGGGCCACTCCAACGCTGGAACTCCTGCTGCAGGAGTTGATAACACTCTCTCCTTCCCTCTCTTGTTCTGAAACACAGCCTCTCTCCCTTACGTCCCCATATCTGCACCTGTGTGCACATATATACACAAGCTTGCATAAGGATGCACACACATATGGAGCACTTGCTGTATGCCACAGGCCAGGCCAGGGCTAACACTTTAAACAGATTATCTCATTGAATTCTCCCAAACACTGCATAAAGTACTATAACTTTCCCAGAGTTACAAAGCTTGTGATCTGCACGCAGGTTGGTCTCATCCCAGGGCCCGTGTTCCTTATTATTATTTCTTTTCACTTTATAAAGTCATATACATGCCATAAGTACACCCATATGTCTCTGCTGTATAAATCCAAACATGTTTATACATATATCTATATTGTACACACCAGCTGATCCCAGGGCTAAGCCAAGACAAAATAATGATGTCACAAGAGGAGACTGGGCTCCTCCGGCTCTCGCTATTTATAGTCTATCCAGTCTCTTGGCCTCTCCACACCCCTGTGTGGTCAGTGATCTCAAAAAGCTTCAAACATTTTGAACAATCCCTGAGAAAACACCATCAAACCAGTTCATTCCCAGAAGGCAGGAGAGATCCAGTGGGTTACTCTTTCCTAGCATATTTGGCAACTGAAAATTCAGCCGAATAGAGTTGTATGGCAGAATTTTAGGCACTAGTGGAGGACAGAGAAAGTTGACCCTGAACAGACCCAGCACCTCTCAAATCACACCCTGTGGGTGGTCCCCAACACCGCCCACATATACCCTTAGTCTTGAGGAGAAAATTTCTTTTGAAACTTTTAAAGAAGGGGGAGAGTTTTAAATGGGGATTTCATCCTGGCTCACCCAAATGCTACCTTGGCATCAAATCAGACGTCAACGTCTAGTCTTTTGAAAATAAACAAAAAGTGAACTAGGGGGCGGAGTGGGAAAAGAAATTTTTAAAAAAGGTGAATTATGCATGCGTCTCCAGACTGCAGGCCACTCCCGCCCCACTCCCACCCATCAACACTCCTGATTACGGCCTCACTCTTTTTTAATACCTGTGTGATATTTACGAGCGTCTGCTGCTTGCGTTTCCAAGTACATCTTGATTTCTGATTATGGAAAAAAGCAAACATGATAATCAGATCATATTGTTCCCCTATTCAAAACCCTTCAGGAGGTTCCCATTGGCCTTAGGATAAAATCAAATCCCTCTTCCGACCTGCCAAGCCCTGTGTGATCTGGCTGGTGTCCACCTCTCCTGCCTTGGCTTGCGCCCACATCTCCTCCTCACCCACCACACTCCAGACCCACTGGCTTTCTCTTTACTCTTCGGACAGTGTAAGTTTGCCTGCCGTAAGGTATTTATTTGTTCCTGCTCTTCTTCCTGGCAACACACTCTCTTCCCCTTCCTCTCTTCCTAGTTACTTTCTTCCTTCCCGCTTTGCTTTTTCACCTCCTCCTCTGCAAATTTGAGCTTTCTAAAATGCCACTTCCTCAGGGAAGCCTTCCTTGATTCTCACTAGCAGAAAGTTTGTCATCCTACTCTCCTCCTTTGCAACGATTATCACAATTGTAATTCTGTAATTATTTTATAATGATTTATTTAATACCCACCTCCCCCAAATAGCTTTCAGAGAGCAAGGAACTTACATATCTTCTCACTGTTCTATCCCTTGCATCTGACACAGTGACTGGCATGTGGTTGATGCTCCATAATTATCTGTTGAATGGGATTATAAGTGAATGATATTCTTAAAAATTTGTGTTTGGGCAGATGTACATCAAATGGTTGATAATGGTTTTATGTTGGATACCTCTTGGGTGTTGCTTTGAATGTTCTCAGCACTACCTTAAGCTGAGTCTTACCAGATTCAGGTGGATGCTACCTGGCAGTATCTCTCCTCAAAACCCTGCCATGTACCTCTTGCCTCCTGCCCTAGAGCTTCTCTGATGTTGTAACATGGGGCACCCATGGGAGCTTGCTCCATACTCACCCATGCATGATCCAGGAAGTGTGGACCATCTGTGACTAATGGGGAAATGTAATGTTCTTCTTTCTTCTTTTTTGTAAGCACATCTCATGAAAGAACCAGGAGTCAGATGGTTCCCACCCTGACCCAAACTAAAGCCAAAGAAGAACATGCTAGGCAATGTGGTCTGCCAGTTCTTTATTGACCAAATGCT